TTAGAGTTTCGTCTTTACGTTCCCTAACAATCCTCGAAATTTGAACCCAGGTCATATGGCTAGATTTTAAGAAATTTAGCGTGGAAATTGTCTTTTATGACCTCCATGGACAAAAGCATTGTGCATGCGTTACTGTTCAGCGAAACCCTGCTTGCAAGATCGTGCATGCACTATGTTTTCCTGCCTTAGGACTGCCTTTGATTTGTAGGTCACCATTTGTCAAGCAAAAAATGTGTCTTGGACTATCCGCTCACGGCCTGTGACAGCGTGGTTACCACAACCAGACGTTCACCACTGAAAAGGGAATATGGTGACATTTGATAGGGTTTATTTCAATCTCACTTCATTCAGATTTTGTGAATGATAGTACTACTTCACTTGTGAAACTGAACCACATTTTGTCTTCTTGACATGGAACGGATATTAGCATGAAAGAGAACTATTATTTTTACGTTGACTGGAGCTTTGTGTCGCCATATTAAGGTACTTAGCAATATTTTGCTCTGTCAGTGAGGACTTTGTTGTTCTTGGGGACTTTGCTTTGGATCATGAAAGAAAATTTATTTGTTAACAAGTGGACGTGGCCACATAGTTAATGTGCAATGCAAGTGCTTCATCTCTCTTCTTAGAGTGAATACATTGCATTTAGTTGCAAAGCACAACAAAAATTTCCTCCCTAAAACAGGTAAAAATACTTTAAAGTAAGGAAACAGCACAGTTTTTTGCCTCTCTTATTTTAGAGGTGAAATATTGTTGTAGTAGTTGTTTACAGAAATAAGTGGCTTGCCCCTAAAATAAGAGTCAAAACCCTCAATTTGCACAGGCATTCCAGTTAGATACATACTAAAAATAATAATAATAATAACAACAAATAGATCCTTTAGAACAAAACTTTTTTTATAGAAGTAAAAGAGTCCTTGAAAGAACTTACTTCATCATCGGCTAGTAACAACAGTAATATTAAATATCTCAACAGCATATTGTTCAGTAATGAAACAGCTCGCTTACTAGTCCTTAAGGTCTAAAATGTCACATTTTACCTTAATGTAATCATAGTCATTAAAAGAATAAACAATCACTGAAACAATCCCAGATGCTTGGGGCCCAACTTCATATGCTCTTAGTAAGTTGTCAAACCCAACTGTCTCCAAGAATATTACATCAAACACAAGGGAAATATTAGCTTGCAGTATATCACGTAATTTTCCAAACATCGGATTTTCTTCGTTGTCAAACTTCACAGCCAAATAGCATTTGTCCACCATATGCTTAGTGCCATGAAAAATAATACATTTGAAAGATTCAAGAACATTTATTATCTTTTCTTGAATTGAGAGAGTTGTCGAAATCCTTTCCTTGGTTCTGGACAGTTCTTCTCCTGACACATAGGTCCATACACGTTTTCTTTTAATATTGAATTACGTCTGATGGGAAATAGCTTCTGATGATGGTGACATAATGACATACACAAGTTTGTAATGTTCAAAATTTCTTAAGTTTGAAAAACTGATGCTTAACATCAAACCGTATCGCCCATAAATTGATTAGAGGACCCAGAAGGAGGATGACTTTGGGTAAATGGACTAAGTAGTGTTGTTTTGGGGTAAAAGGTTGCTCAGGGAATAGCTCCTAAAAAGAGAAACAGAGGCGAATCTGCAGGCGCTGCCACGGTGCATAAATAACAAGACAAAGCAGTGCGGGCGCACAAAACCGAGTCAGGAATGAATAGTAAAGGAATCTCAAGAGAGCGCTGACAACATTGAACTGTTTGTTGCTGTAAAGCTGCAAAATTGCACCAGTGGGTGTGAAGGAAACATCCTTGCGCTGAAGAAAATAGTTGCTACTGGATGAAAGATCATCAAAAGAATATGGCACTAAATTAGAAATACAGACAAAGGAAAACAAGGCAACTAAAAAAGCAGCATGCATGCGAACATGTAGCAGACAAGACAAATTAAAATGGCTAAAAACATTCAAAAGAATATCAACAGTAACAGGGTGAGTGACACACACCGTGTTGCCCATGACAAGATGTAACCCACACCTGGTGAGAAAAACGTGGTAGTTGTGCATGTAAGATATGTTGGCAGCCAGAAACTGGTTGTTATGCTTGAGAATATTATCGTAATTCAATAAAGAACAATAACACAAAAGCGGCTTACAAGAAAAACCGAGTACCATAAAAACGATTGTTCAAAACAGGAAACGGGGTGAAATTAAAATACAAAAGTACAAAATAAAAGATAACTGTTCAAGTGAGTTTGTATGGTTGCCTTCGTGGACTCTTGGAAAGCAAAAGACTGAAGCCTGCGGGAGTGATCCATGAGACTTTCAGAGCTTTCTGCAAAAAAGAAAGACAATGCGGAGGGTGAAGCACAGCAATCAATCGTACACAGTAATAGATAATCAGGCACTGAACACACAAACAGTGAATAATCGCCAGTGAGGAATCTGCTGAGAGCATCAGCCAATCAATTTTCGCTCCCAGAAACCTATCTGACAATTAGTTGGATGTTATGCAAGGCAAGGAACAGCCGGAGTTCTTGTAAGAAGGGCTGCATGAAACAGTTGGAGGCATGTTGAGATGAAAGGACCGAAACACAGGTAGTGTTGTCAGAGAGCAGTGAGACGTGAACACCTCGTAGCTTTGGAGCCCACAACTTGATGGCAATGACAAGCGTGTGCAGAAAGGAAGACTTTGAAGCAGAAGGGGATTCTGCACTGTAGAAGTCATGGATGTAGACGTCAACCAAAAAATGCCTTCTGAATTTAAAATGTAGACAATGTTCTTAGTGGTTTGCTGACAAATCAAAGTGGCAGAGCAACGACCAAACGGTAGCGCAGTGAAAGCACAAAGTGCCATTAATGTACATCCCTATTAATATATAATCCACAGGGTCAATGGGGATATGCCAAAAAGCTCACTTCAGATCTTTTTTGAACACATGACATCCATAGCCTTTGACATTAACAAAGTGAACAAGATGATCTATACCAGGTAAATGAAGCTTGTAAAATTCACCAACACAGTGGTCATTACTGATCTGATTGTTGATGAAAGTTCCTTTGGGGAAGCTGAGGTCATGGACAAAGCGCAAATCCGAAGAATCACACTTTGGAACACAGAGAAGAGGAGAAATCACACAGTGCGTGTTGAAAGGATTACAACGAATGCACCAAACACTGACCGGTAAGAAAACTCTTTTAAGTACCTGAAGACAAATAATCACAATTCTTGGCAGCGGAAAGATGATTATGGAAAGTTGAAGAAGCCAGCACAGATGTGTAATTGACGGGCCAACCATATTGAAGAAAGTCAAGGATAACGTGATCTTGATAATGGTCTAAATAACGAGATCAAGAGTCAACATTAAAATTTGAAGCCATAGCACATTGCGCACCTGAAAAATTGGGAAGTGCAAATTCTCTGACTTCATTCGAGACAGCAACTAGAGAAAATAATCAGGCTGCTTGGTTGGACGGAGAATTATAAGATGAAGCCGAGGGAACTGTTGGAATGGGATATTTGTGTTTGGGACACATCAGCGTGGCATGATCATATGAGTCGCAAACACGACAGCAATGAGTTTACTTCTAAGGAGCATCAGCAGTGGAGCAGCTGCATTTGCCAGAGTAATTCCATTCCTTACAAAACTGATTGGATTTTGGCCGGGCAGCGGTTTTAGCAGGATCAGCTTCCTCCAAAATAGCTGAGAGGTTATCGATTTCTTCCGGGGACAGGAAAGATAGACTGCAGGAACAAACGAGCTGGAAGAGCCTCGGAGGACATGCTGGAGAATACGAAACGATTTTTAACAGACAACAAGGATTAGAGTTGCGTAAACAGCAAAAGAGATCGTGACCTGACCTTTCAGCCTATGACAAAGACTAAGAAAAGAAGAAACTCAACAGGACTGAAAACAGACAACTGACGTAAGAAGGGGTTTGTGACCAATTAAGTGTGTTAAAACTTCAAGAACTTGCCTTGCTATTCTTTGTCGACTGGTTACAGCGAACTTATATGACTTCAAGCTCGGTTCTGGGTGGTCGATTCTTAGCCAATGAGATTCATGCATTTCTTACTTCGTTGTTTGTATGAGCTGTTGCCTCACTGGTCCACTGTGGTACGGATCTCCTACTGCTGTGTTTCTTGGTTAAGGGCAACCAAGTTTATCGAATTTCTATTCCACTATTGATATTGTTAGGGTGTAGTCTTTTGTGAATTTCCTCGTTCTCTGTGTGTCGTACAGTGAGCTGGATCGCGATCAATTACCAATAACAAACAACCTGCTCTACATGAAGTAGAAAGCCACAGGTTCTACAGTGTAACAGCTTTTCTCCATCAAGCCGACTATTGGCTTTTCCTGGTGTTACAACTAGATTGTCAGGAGATATATCTGTTGTACATCTTCCAAGCCTACTCCTTCAAGCATGGAATCTAATTGGCTTTGAAAAGTTGTTCACCTGTGCTTGCTCCCCTTCCTTCTTCGTCACCACCTGACTCAGATGAATCATGTAATTCAACTGACCCCTGAAGAAATGCAACTAGGCGTTGATCTTCAAGGCAGAACAAACAGAAGTTGTCTCCATCTTTTACTATTTAAACTTTCCCAATGATACACTCGGGTGAATTTCTATCGTCATGGTACCCAGTCTGGTACACAAGGGGATCTTTCTCTGACTGTTTCAGCCATCTCAAGCCCATGTGATCCTCCAGAAATGCGTCACCGTTACGGTGAAGATCTTTTAAAAGTATTGCAAGGAAGAGAGCAGTGATATACCTCTGGTAGTTTTGCTTGAGAGCAACTACATCGCCTTTTCAATTCATAATCTCATATTTGTCGATGGCGTCTTGAACTGTAGTTTGTCCTTCATTCCCTAGCTTGATCCTCTTTCAGCAGATCGACTTCTCAAAGTGCCAACGCATTCTTTCTCAAGATACTCAGAGCAAGTAGATGTGTACCAGCTCTTTCTTTGGTATTCCTTCTTTTTCTTTGCTGTCACACACCCAATCTGAATTCTTCTGCAAGGCTCTGCAATGCCTTTCTTTTCCTTCGCGCTTTTGTTTCGTCGTCCACATCTTCCTTACTCTTGCCTCGCAACTTTCGAAGCCATTCCGGTGCCTTTGGACCCAGCTTTCTCTGTGCGTAATGGCTTTGAGGACCAGTATAAAAGATAAACGAGGATTGGTAGAGCCTCTCTATTGATTCTAAAATGAAGCTGGACCACCGCAATGCATAGTCATTCCTTGGGGGTTGGGCGAGCAGGTGTTCTTACTTCACGTAAAAATTGCTCCAAATCTAAGGTGGTGATACCTTTTCAGGGTCAGCCATTAACTCAATTTTTTTCCCTTAGGTAGGGGGGAGACCCAAAAAATTCCTGTATCAGCCGTATTGCCCAATTGGCCGAAAAACTTCTTGTAGATCAACATTGTCACTTAAGTCTTTAAATTTTGTGCAAATAAAAAAATAACCACCTCATGAATGAGCAATGAATAAATCTTGCGTGAGAAAAATCACGCATCCCCTGACAAAGAATCACATAGTGGACCTCTTACTGGAGGTGTTCCATGCTGAATGCAATGATATTAAATTCCCTCAGACACTGCTACTTGTACCTGGTGTGCAACATTCCTTTCACAAACTCAACTGTTTATTGTATAAATATAATTAAAGAAAATAAACTATTAAGGCTTAATTACTTTTTATTTCACTGAGGGAAGTCTTTGGTGTTCCACCTATTTTTCACTAATTGTATAATTTAGATTATCTATGATACAAGCATTTATCAGCTATACGGTAATGGAATATGTCCTTTACTTTCTTGGCCCATTACCAGTACTGGTAGGTGAACCGATCTCAGTTTCTCATCAGAGTTCGAGATAACTGTAAAATTAAACTCCGTGCAATTATAGCAGATTTCTTGAATTGTGAGAGCATTTATTTTGCAACAAAGCATGAACAACAACAACAACAATACCTTTATTCGCCTTGTACTTCAATACAAACATGAAAGAGACAAAAAATATATATATATATATATATATATAAGTTCACAGAAGTCCAGGTTTCACGAGTAATCATCGTTTTATTGCTACAGAACTGTTTCGTACGGTGCAAGGACCACACTCGTCAGGCAATTTTGACGACTGAACTGTTGGAATTGGAAGGCTGGCAGCTAAATGCGAAAATTTCAATGGTTGCTATGGTAGATGCGTTAAATTCAGGTTATATGAAAGTGTTGAAAGGGTTGCTAGGTAACAACAACATTATATAAGATGGATAATCTGTCGTTATAAAAAATGTGATATAAGCGGGTTTTAAGCTACATTACTCTAAAGTTTCCAAGTACATATCGGTTTCTGTGGGGCATAAACTTGCTAATTCGTTTCTTCTGTTGAGGCTACACAGTTCTTTTTTACCGATGATTATGAACTTTTCATTCAGGCAAAGACTACATTTTTTGTTAATGTTGCTGTAGGGTGTACATTTCTTAAGAATTTTCCATTTAATCTGAAACGGTTTCTTTTCGTTTTGTAAGTTCCAAACATATTTGGAGAGTTCTGTTTCATTTCTTCTTTTCGAGTGTCGAAAGGATGTTTTGTGGTTCCTGTAACGTTCCGTAAAGTTTGTGGCTAGTCCAACATAGGTTTCAGTTGCTGTCTCAGTAGTAACTGTGGCTTGATAGATGACGTTAGTTTGAAGGCATTTTCCTTCTAATGGGAAATCAGACTTTTTTCTACAGTTGCAGGTGTCGGGTTGCGGTGTTGTGGTATTTGCATTGGAAAGAACGTGTTTGTTGTGTGACGATATGATGGATTTCATATTTGGCATACATGAGTAGCTTAGCTTGAGAGTGTGTCTGTTGAAAATCTTGTAGAGTGGATGTTTTTTGTGGAAGCATTTATCGACGATGCGGAGGAACTTTCGACTAAGGTTGGTTTTAACATTTGAATCGAAAGGAGGATTGTACCTTGCAATGTCCCTTTTTCTCTTTCTTTTGGTTCTCGGAGTGGGCTCAGGGTTGTATGTTAGTTTGTGATCATATCCACTTTCTTCAAGTGCTTGCTGGTAAGGAGCAATTGATTCGTCAAAAACTTCATTGCTGGATGAGATGTTAGTTAGCCTTTTTTTGATGTCAAGTGGTATGTTTTTTAGTAATGCTGGGGGGTGGTTGCTCTGTTGGTGGACGTACAAGAGTTTATTGTTGGGTCTCATGTATGGCTTGTAACTTCCGTCTGTAAGGTCGAAGGTTACATCAAGAATGTGAACGATTTTTTTGTTGGCATCGATTGTAATCTTTAGGCCCTTTGATTTAAATACATTGCAGACTTCTTTCTTGGTTTTTTCAATTTCTTTGGGAGTGGCTTTGCAAACCGCAAGACCATCATCGCGGTACAGTCCAACTTCATCTTTGAATTTGGATGCAGTCAATGAGAGCATGTAAATTCCTATCAATTCACATGTTTCTGCTCCGTCGTATGACCCCATTGTAACATCAAACATGTCCTTTGTGTTCTTCTTAGTCCAGGGAGAGTTTTGATGGTAAAGGAGTGATTTTTTTGCGTGGATGATGATGTGGCGGTCTTGTGGAGTGATGGTGGTGAATTTGGAAGAATAATCTAATGCATTCAGGAGCAGGTCTTCAGATATGGATGGATAGAAGTCGCACACGTCAAAGGTGATAAATTCGTGTTTTTCCTTTTCTGGGATTGCCTTGAACCGTTCTATGGTGTTGTTAGTGCTTTTCCACAGGTTCACCTTGGTTGCTTGGATGACTTCTTTGTTTATGCGGTCGAGGATGTTTTTGATGATGACACCAATTTCATATTTCCTTGGATTAATGAGTCTGCAGGTCGGGTTGTTAATGAAATCTGGTTTGTGGTCTTTCAGTGTAATGAAGGAGTCCCTTGATGCTAAGACTTCGATTCAGTCCGCTAGTTCGATTTTCTCTGCTATCTTCTTGTCCTCTAGAGTTATAATGTCTGGCACGTTCGGGTTTGTCTTCTTGTAGGTCTTCGTAACGTTTTTGTTTACAAGTGTCATATAGTCTTCGGGTGCAGTCTTGTAATAGTTTGTCGTTTTGTCTGCTTTCACAAAAATGTTGTGTTCTTCCTGTATTTCTTTTACGTCTTTATTGAGCTTTTTCTGAAGGTCATTAGGGTAAGTATTGGTCTTGAATTCAACTCGCTGTATCATTTCAAGCATACAGTCCTCAAACTCATTCAGTTCCGCTGCGTGAGGTGGTGACCGTTTCAAATTAAATCCGTAAGATTCTTTGGATGTGTCGTTGCAGTTGTTGTTCAGAAAAAAGAAAGCTTTCCAGTGCATACGTTGAATTAGGGATTCTGTTTTCGCGCTTAGTACCTGAAGGTACGCATTTTTGGATGCCAGCGGGATGTTTTTTGTAGAATACTCGAAGTCCTTCACTTGGACATTCGTTCTTCAAAGTGCTCAACTGCAAAACACGAGCAAATTATATATATTTAGTTGTACTTAATAAGGCCTAGAGCTGAAATAATCCCAAGATTTTCTAGCCAGTTCTCCATGCGAATTCATTGTACTAGTATTCTACCATCCATTCTAATTATTTATGGACTTTTAAAGGTGAAGTTAGTGGTCAAAACATACCAACCTCGATTTATGGTCGCCTCGTGACTTGCTTGAGGCAATGAGGCAATTAGGACCTATCCAGTAAATTCCGCTTTCAGTGAATCAGTTTGTCTTTTGTAGCTTATTGTCATTTATTGTTATGTTCAGATCGGCCGCAAAACTCTATGCTTGGAGACTTGCAAGGAGTAAATTAGTCAGGGATGTACTTACGTACCTTTCTCTTTCACAGGATTTCTTTTTGTCCTTTTTCGTCTTTCTCATTTCTCCCTAAAAAGATATGTATAAATCATTTTCTGTGCCTTCTGGCATTGACAGCGTGTTGAGAAAAGCCGTGGGAAGAGTTGCATAACAAAGCGAGAAAAGTGACTTGAGATTCATATTACGGTGCGTTCAACAATTGAATAAATTAAGAATATGATACCATGCTTTTATCAAACAACGCCAGCTGGAAGCAAGAATGAGAAATGTGTGTCGGCCAGGATATTCTATGGGAAGAAACCTTATAATGCAGAAAAATTATTGTGATAAGCGATTGTTAGACTGTGTGATAAATCTGATCCCTGATCCAGGGCTCAAAAGCAAAAGTAACTAAACAAACTATGTTGATAAATAAGAATTACAAAAAAACGAGCTAAAGTTACAAAATGTATAGTAGGTTGAGTTTGATCGTCTGGGTGAACGTAGTCCTGAGTAGGACTGTTGTTGTTGACACTGACTGATGTTTCGACAACTTGTGCAGCAGTCATCTTCAGAGTCAAAAAGAGTCTGAAGATGACTACGGCACAGGTTGTCGAAACGTCAGTCACTGTCAACAACAACAGTCCCATTCAGGACTACATTCACCCGGATGATCAAAGTCAACCTACTTTTGAAATGACTCCTGAGTTCAAACCTTTCACAAAATATATAGTCTTACAGAATGATATTACAAGACAAATTTAGTACTAACAGAACCTATCAATAATTAGTGCATTGAGTCGAGGAAGCAGAATTTGCCATTTTTTGTAGGAGAATGGGGACTTTAACATATTCGTCCACTGCTTCCATTATTGAGAGCAACGGGAGGTGTTTCAATTGCCCAAGCTGAATATTTTATGTTGTACTGAAACATTAGGGCTTTCCTGAGGTATAATAATTGTTCTAAAATTCCATGCACCAAGCCATGATTTGTTCCTTCAAAGTTTTCCAAAGTTCATCGTTTATGAAAGTGCTGAAGATAGGAATCTTCGGCATTTTAGCTGAGTGAAAAATGCATTATCTTGCAAATAGTACTGTTACTGGGATGCCTTACTTACCTGCCAAAGTTGAACTCGTTTCCTTGAACCGCTTTTCTTCCCAAGGGCTTTGAAAATGGTATAATTCAAGAGTTTTCGACCAGCGACTATATGCTTGAAGGCAGCATCTCATGTTTTGCCGGTTTTCTCGTAAAAGAAAATTCTTTGGAAACTGATTGTGATTTTCGAAAATGTCTCACCAAAGGGCTTTTTTTACTGAATATGAAGAATTTCGAAATTTCAGTTTTGACAGCAAATTCTCTATTTTTACAGACAGCCACTCTTAATTTTCAGGGCATTAGGTTGCTGGGTGGCCCCTGTTGAGTATTGCTCATTTAGTACTGCATATTCCCAGGTTGCTGCTGATATCTTCTCATCAAGGCATTGCCCAACATGATTGAGGCTGTTGTTGTTTTCATCCTTCAGCTCATTAAATTCTTTTTCCAAGCTGCTAATCTTCTACCTTGAGAGCCTTCAGTTTCAATGTCAGCATGTTCTCTAGGCGTGTTGTCAACTCTTCTAGCTTTGCATCCAGCATCTGTGTTAGGGTATCTGCCAAATTACTGATTGATTAAAGATTACCACTGTTCTTGGACCTAGTCTGCTTCTGTAAAGGACTAAAATTACCTCGACCTGGAGTACTGAGGATACTTAAGAGATTTCTTCTGCCTTTCATTGCGACATCTGATTCTGGCGTCATCTTTACCTCCCTCACGCTATGAGTTTGAATCCCCTTTGAACTGGAAGATGTCTTTTGGTTTTATCCCAGCTGTTTAAGCTGCAAATCATAACAACTCCTATAATCGTTCTCCTAACGAAAATCCTGCCTCGTACCCAGATGCTCCACATCTGTGATCATAGTATTCCCATGGGGTGGAGAACTAGAACGAAAGATTTTGCACTTTTGTTGAAGAGTTTCATTTTAGGTTTGGTGTCACCTACAAACATTCGGCATTACCATGCCAACAATAAAGTAGCTGTTGACTTGTTAGGGTGTTTCGATGCAGTTTTTCGCAGACGATACCGATGTTTTTCAATCGCCTTAAAAGATTGCCACAAAATTTTCACCAGTGATTGACTATGAATTGAAGTTTGTCAAAAGTTTCTAGTAAAGTCGATATCACTATGACAGCAATATACAAAAAACTTCGAAATCAACAACATGCATTTCGTCCATTTCCTTTCTTGCGATCGTGAGAACTAACCTGTTTTCTCACCACCTGCAAGTGTATTCTAAATTTTTACTTTAAGCGCTTTTCTGTTTATCTCTAAAATGGCTCAACAGAATTCTTAATGCCCCACATACATACCTCCATGGCTAGTCGTTTCAATGTGAGTGTTTTCAATGTTTTACCTTCACAACATGAAACGAAAGTTGTACTAAAATGTACTAGCCATGGAGGTATGTATGGTGCACATTAAATTAGCATAACGTTAAATGAGTGAATATGGTTGTAATGCGGATTTTTGGCCGGTTCGCAGGCTTGAAATTTCAAGGTATTGTAGTGAATTAATCTCAGTGAAAGTTTCAGACATGAATATATATACATCATAAAGATTATGTGATAAGCATTAAAAAGAATTCTGTCGAGCCATTTTAGAGATATACAAAAAAGCACTTAACGCCAACATTTAGAATAAAGTTGCTCTTAGACAGGTGGTGAGAAAACACACTGTAAAATGAAAAGAGCCAATAGGGCCGAAACGGGTGAGTCCAGAACGGTACTGTTTTCGGGGCCAATTCAGCCCTATTGAGATGGGGCTGTCTTGGTACCAAAATTTGGAGCTAAATTGACCCTTGCATCGGGGCCAAATTAGACCATGTAAAGGGCCAATATGGAAAACACTAGGGCCACTTTGGATTTTCCAGGAGCCAAAACAGCCCCCTCAAATTGTGGCCTTCTCACAAACGACCCCTTGAAAAGTAACCGATTCAGCTTCATATCGGGCCATTATGGTTTTTCTTAATTTGGGTTGGGGCCTACAGATTTCTTCCCTTAATTAGGTATTGCCAAATAATGAAACCAAACTAAGGCTTATTTCAAACATTTATTCAGTTATGAATATGTGTACCGTGATCTGTACATCATTTGACACGTATTCCAACCTATTTATGTAACATTATCTTTGATTAATCTGAACTTTTCTCGATCGAACAGTTACTATTACTTGAGGAATTAAATTGGCCAAGAGAGACACTTGTCTTGGGTGCGTCAAAGTAACTACTTCTTAAAACGGTGTTCACTAATGTGACCAAGTCAAAATCATAATCATCATCATAAGAGAGCTTAAAACCTATAGTGAAAATCAACAATTGGAGTTGTAAAGGGTTTCATGAATTGAAGCTCACCAGAATTGGAGTCAATTAAGGTTTCTATTACAACTCCCCTTTTGACAAAAAAAAGATTGGCAGGATTCAGGGTTGCCCCTCTTCAGAAAGTTAAAAAATTCCCTGAATTTTCCCTGACCTTTAAACAGTTTTCACTGACCTTCCATCAATGAGAAACAATCGATGTTTACATTCGCTTTAGCTTTTTTTGCGGGCTATTGATATTTATCTCTTCATTTTCAACCTCTTTCCACACAGTGTCAAATTGATCTCTCTGCTTGCTTTGCAGCATACGTTTCATCTTTTAGGAAAGAAAATGTATTTCAGAGTCTTGGAGAAAACTTATGAACTATAAACGTGTAAACAGAATTCCCTGACTTTGACAATATCAAAGATTTTCCTTAACCGTGGCAACCCTGGAATTGGTCAAGTTCCCCTGCCTACAACTCCGACAATGTGCAGCTTTCAGTAGATTGAGGCAAAGGAGTTGTAAGAGAAATCATGAACTACAATGCTTCAGCTATATCAATGCTCAAGCTTCTGATTACAACTCTGACTCTGTCTACATTGCTAGTGCCAGTCTTGAATGACTTGGTAAGTACCTTATTTATTGGTTTTTACAGCATGGACAATATGTTAAGGAAACCAAATGATCAAAAAAGGGTAATAAAGAGGTAATAAAAGGTTGCTGCGTATGTTAGGTTTGTTTTAAGTGTTTGAGTTTTACCTTAAAAAAAAAACAAAAACAAATAAAGAGAACTATATGTACCGAAATACCATGCAACACAGGATTCAATAGAATGAAAACAACAAAGATTAAGGTACTAGTTGAAGAACTGAGGCACTTCCCAAGTCATTAAAAAATGATGAAACAGTGACAAGTGTCTGCCCTCGTCCGCTTTCCAGCACAGCCTGCTTCAGGAAAGTTAGGATGGCTTTGCTTTGATTATATGAAACATTAAAAACGTAACAATTCCCCAGCAATCCAAGCAGAGCATCTAAAATCGATTTCTGGGGGAGTTGGCAAATAATTCTTCCCTCTGCCACAATGTAAATTAGATCTATGTCAAAAATATCTCCAGCAATTAAAATCTGGGGCTGGGCAAATCCTGTTATTGCATCATCGACTTCTGCATCCCTCTGCAATACAAAAAAACAATGTTGCATTTTTAGTCAGTATGGTGAACGCTCCTTTTAAATAATACACCTGCATTTATGTACTATTAATAATTTTGTCAATCAGGATATTGTCACAAAAAATAATGGCTCATCAAATTTATTTAAGTAAGCACCTGTCCTAAAGGTAGAAAAAGTTAATAAGCACCCACTTTCAAGGTCTAAAATTTTAAGACCTTGAGAAATAGTTTAATTATTAAAGCTTAGGGCACTTAAGGAATAAACGTGGTATTTCATTTCAGATTACTAGTACACATGTGCAATATACTGTATTTTGTTTGTTGCAATTACATTTATCGCTGTCAACCCTATAGTGTTTTCATACCAGAATATCAGAAATAATTACGGGTTAAAAAATGAGGCACAGCTGACTTTGAGATGTCTGGATTTTGGACTAAACACAGTTTGGAGTTTTTGATTTACCTTCTCAAAAGAATAAGAATTCTTGACAAAAATTGAAAGATGAAATTCGCGAAATGTCTCGGTAACTAGTATCCAATATCCAAACCACTCACTGTCAAGGTTATAATTTTCTCTTTATGAATAATTAACAAGTTTGAGAACTTTATTTCCGAGTTTCCTACCTCTATGATACTGACAACTTTCTCCTGGGTTCCTTTCTTCCTACCGCCACGATTCCGCAGAACCTTGTTAATCACCAAGAAGGATGCCCAGCTTTTCATTTCTGACATTTAAATAAGGAAAAAAATTGTTATTAAAACACACCTGGTAGAAAAATTTAATAAGCGCTAACCCCCGTCCCACTGGACAAATTAAAAAATACTGAATTACACAAGAGGAGTATCAAATATTATTTCTTCACTGGCTTTCAATCTCTAGATTCATTGTTTGGCAAATTTATTTATTTAACTAATTAATTCATTGTTTTTCCACAAAATAAACTGCAGTTGTAACTTTTTGCTGCAAGTGGTGAAAATTTAATAAGTGCCTGCCACAAATAACTGCCCTCTGTCAAGGTAGCCTGCGTAGCTGGCGGTATTGTGTACTAGGCGAGTGAGATTTGGTGGCGGAGCCGCTGTACCAGTCGAGTGAGATTTGGCGGCGGAGCAGCCACGAGCGGAATGCCGAATGCCGCCCACTTTTATTGCCTCAACTAATCCCAATTAAATCAGCCAATGAGAGTGAAACCTGTAATTCGAAACTTCCGATTATTTTCGCGCGAAATGTCTCGCTGTGTTGGTGATTTACTGCGCGCATGGCGACCTCTCACGGGGAATACCTAAAATTGAGGGGGAATACTCCTACAAAGCCAGTTAAAGGAGGAAAAGCCAAAGAGGAGAGCGTTGATGACTTTTGTAGATTGTGTGGTGTCAATTTCAAGATAAAATTTGGTAACTTTCAGAAGAGTACAAGATATATTTCGACGGAGAATTTGTTTAAACCTTCTGGCTGCGTGAAGCGAGACGGCAAAACATTAGCAGAAATTTGCTCTGAAATTGGCCTGAACATTGTGGACTCTAGTCTTGTATCGAGTAGAGTTTGTCAATCTTGTGGCAGGAAAATATTCTGCACTGCTGAACTTTTCCATTTCATTCATTCCGGCTTAGAAAAAAATGTGGAGGTGCCGTTCAGTTCTACGCCGCAGAAAAGAGATTCACAAGCAAGGATTAAAGGCCTTCTGCCTTCATCCGTATTCTCGCCAGACAGAAGTCCTCAACCAAAAAAGGGTATAAACCGTGGAAGTTCTCCCTCTAAGAAGTCGCTAAATTTCTCAGAATCGACTCCTTTGAGTACATCAAACGAAGGAAATATGCCTTTGGATGTCAGCCAGGAAATTATCACACCGTGCGATCGACACTTCTTTACAGAAATGAACATAGAAAATTTGTGTGGTAAACAGACCACTCAAATTAAAGTCCTGATAGCAAATCCTAATGGTCGCATTGACTCCCACTATTCTTTTGACAAAGGAACTAAGTCCATTATTCTAAATGCGTGTCGAAAGAACTGGAGCACCGTTGTAAATATGATAATGAAACATTCGCACGTCCAACAGGAACTCGAGGAACCTTTACGAAAGGCAGTGGCCGGTGAGTTTAAAGAGTATTGTCAAGACACCACTGATTCAATTTTAAAAGAAGTCAAGCCAGGAAGATCTATCTGCTTTCTCAAACACATTTCTTGCGCACGAAGTGGGAACATGGTGCCCCTTGTGGATGGCTTGTTTGAGAGGTGCGTGTAATGTTAAGGACTTGGCAGAGGAAAACGGCAAGGTAATTAATTCTGTCGCCTTGTTGAGTGCAGTTGCAGCAAAGTGTAGAAATCCCAAAATGTCTGCAGCAGCTTATCGCATTCAACAATTCTATTCCACAGTGGTGTAAAGCTCAAAGATCTGCGGCTTTTAAACAACTTAGGTGTTTGTATGTCACCGGACTCGATCATTGAGCTTCCAAAAAAATGGGAGAGAACTGTGAATCAAACTACTCCACTGGAAAAATGAAATTGAAAAGGTGAAGGGAGCGAGATTGTTGCTAAACAAAGTGAAAGAAAAGCAAGTGGGAGTTCACGATGAAGAAATGCGTATTGACATCGACTTAAGCGAAGAGACTCTGAAGTCATACAAGTTTTATGGGCCAATCATCTTTACATACTGCCAAGATTTGTTTGTATTTGGTGGCAAGAATGTAAGGGCCTTGACCGACTATTGGCTATTGGCTATTGAGTCAGAGCCCATTCGGGCTAAATAAAATTAATATACCCATTGTAGCAGACAAACCAATGCCACCATCGTGACCATGTCAAGTAGACTATGGAAATGAAAATAAATAAAATGATCATGATATTTTTTCATGTTGCCCGCAGATGAGCCTGATTATGACATACCCTCAAAGGATTATGTAAGCCAGGAGACTCGCAGGAAGTGGCTACATGAGATGTGTCTCAAACATGTGGAAAAATATATCATGGCAAGTGAAGTTGAGTTGCAGTCTGCACTTTCTACAGATGGATTTCATTGTCGTGTGGATGGGTGTGATAGAAGCTATATTCATCACTCTGCTAGAGTCAAGTATGTGCAATACATTTCCAAACAGCCAATAAATTAGTTGAAGTGGACAATACTTTGTGTACAAACACAGGCACATAAATATCATTCTACACCATGCTTATGACCCTAATTTGGTTTTGTTGTGTTTTATAATCCATAAAACAGGGTGTTTGCGATCACATAGTGTGCAAAAAATGATTTTCTTTATTTATATATTTTTTATTGTTAGTAAGGTTTAGTGTTCTATTTTGTTTAATAAAAAATATTATTTTCCAATTCTAAGGCACGAGGATTCTCAACATGGACTGGTCAAGGATAGATATTAGACTGGAAGGGAAAGAGACATACTCGGGTACTTCCACTGCAGAGCTTCCTGTGGGCTTGTGTTCTCAACTAAAGCTATCAGGAACAAGTAAGGACTAACTTTCTGCCCAGTGGCATGTCACAGTAATTTTGAAGGTCACCCTAATATTTGAGACCAAATCTGTGGGGAGTGGATTTGCAGTTCTGAAAGGACTCTAGGTTTTCTGATGTAGTTTTTTGTGTCGTGTATTTTACAGAATATTGCCTTAACAGTTGAGTCAGTCGTCTATAACAGTAGTACCATTTTACTGCACCAACTCTCATTATGGGGTACAAAACAATGAATAAAACTATTTAAGATTCTGCACAATAATGATATGAACTTGAAATACAAGTCCTCAATTTAAATGTCAATGAACTCAGTCAGTTTTGCAGTAATGTGATAAACCCAATGAATGTATTGATGCAGATGCTGCTGAATTGATGTTGTGAGTTGCCAAATCTCAAAGGGTTGAAATTTTCTGGGAAAATGATTCTGCTGATTAAGGATTTTTTCATTCTGATTTCTAGTTTTAATGTAACTTGTGCATTTTAACTTATTTTTGTTTGGAGTCATGAAAAAAATACTTATCCAAACTTCTCTGTGGAAATTAATGAAGAAACAGAAGAAGAAGAAAAGGAAGAAAGTGTGGGAGAAGATTATCTCTTCAATTATCGTCGGTCTAAACTAGCATTTGGCCTAATTCTGTTTGAAATGGATGATGCCATCAAAGAAGGAGACGGCAGACGGCTGCATGACCTCTATAAGTTTGCACTACTGATATACAGGCATACGGGAAGACAAAGTATGCATATGCTGTTCTTCTATACCTTGTAAAAATTGAGGCAATTTTATCTGAGGAAGAAGCTCACAGTCTGTTATGGAACCGCACATTCAACAAGTACGGTGTGCCTGGGAGAAACATTCCATTAGACTTGAGAATGGAACAACTCAACAAGGATGTGAAATGCATGTGGAGAGCTCTTCAGGTCAATATCAATGAAGGTTCTGCTGAAAGAGTTGTGAACACAGTAGAACCCATGGAAGGCATCAGAGATTCTATAAAGAAGGATTGTGGGCTGTTGGAAACTCCAGGATACAGGTCATCTGGGAAACCAGAATCAGCAGTTCTTCAAATCACCGAAGATCTTGTGAAAATTGATGCTTTTAAACATGAAAGTGGCAGACAAGGACACCCCTCATTCCCAGATTTTCCATCCAATTTGCTGAGAAAGATAGACTTTTCGTGACCTGCATACTTGGATGAAGGGGCTTATTAAAACTTGGGAACCAATTTACGAGTTTAACAGGGTGGATTGAGAAAAAGCTTCAATCTCATTGGAAACTTTCTAATGACCTAAACTGATACATTTATTTCATTCTTAATCATCCGTCACTTGTTGGTATACAGTACTGTTGCCAGTCATGTTGTAAATATTTTTAAGCAAGTGAACTGTTTAGCCTTCCTGCAAATTGATGTTTCTTTTCTTGTGGTTTTATTAACTGGTAATTAAAAAAAAATACAAATACAGTAAATGTTGGTCAATGAGTTTGAGACAAAGAAAGAAAAAAATTATACTAAGGGAGACTAAAACTGAACCTCTACAAATAACATTTACTGATATGATCATTGTTTCACACTTAACAGTAATTCCAAGCTTTATTGTTCAGCTGTTTCCAGTGATAAAGTAGTAGCTAATAGTAAAATAAGAACTTTGTATAAGTTAATTAAAGATTATAAGGAGTGCCCACCCCACATTGTAAAATTACTGGTGAACACTTCTGCTACATGTACCTATAGAAACAGGAAACTATTAAAATTTTGTGGTGCATGACCTTGGTATTCTGGGCATGAAGTCATAAATTAAACTTTGCTATCGTGACCTAATTGTGGTCCATAATTTATGAACCAATATTAATGAAATGAAGACGGAATCCATCAGGAAATTGAGTACTTTTAATTTTCAGTAGAAAAAAACCTTGTACCAGAATAATTTAAAACATTTGCAGAATAATTTGCATTTTTTTTACATTTTTCAAGGGCTATAGATGTAATTAGTTATCTGTAACAACACCAAAGAAAATTATTTCTGATGGGATGGGCTCCCATGATAAATAGTCTTTGGTGTTATTACAGATAATAAATTATATCTATAGCTCTTCAAAAAAAGGTAACAAAGAGTGTGGTACTGTTTAAGATATTCTGGTACAAGGTTTTTGTCCACTGAAAGTAGAAAAAACTCAATTTCTTGATGGATTACGTCTTAAGATTTACATGTATGTACAGGGTCGCAGTGTATGGAATTTTGCTAAATTTGCTTTTCCATTCCCAAGGCCTAATAAAAGGAAATTAGTGTTATTGATACCTGAGTAACGAAATAAATGATGAAACAATATTATTTGCAACCATGCTCTGTCACATGTGCCCTGTAAATCCACGAGACTTAAATGGACATCTGAAGGACTCTTTGTAACATCCAAGATTTGAATGAAAATTTGAAGGTATCAGAAAAACTCAATTTTTATTTTGAATACTGGCCACACATGATGGGCCAAAAAATTGTAATACACATCTACTAACTAATCTCACCTTCAATTCACGGAACTTATATACATGGAAATACACTGTTTATGGCAATGAAATTGAACAGGATGATTTTTTTCTAAGTGGTTTGTGGTGGAATGAAATCAGTACAAATCTGGTACAAACTAATGATAATATTGCAGAAGTCTATCACTCTGGCAAAGCATCAGGATCAAATGCAAAGTCTTCTACAAAGTCCTCGTAACAGCTGTCTAGTGGGTTATCAAATTCACTGTTAAAATGATCATTGTTAGCTTCTGTAAAAGAACCTAACAAATTGTTTTCAGTTATGTCATCGAAAATCTCATTCAAAATACCAAGTATTGCAACAGCATGTCTCCTTGAAAAAACTGGAACATTCACAATGATATCCTCAACTGAAAACAATTTATGGCAACGTGCCACCACCTCAGAGATGAGTTCTTTTGAGAAGCCGTGACTCAATGCTGACCCAAATGCACTTCTTCGATAGCCTTGGGACATACTTGACTCCAGTTCTGAGAGTGCACCTTTTAAAAGAGTTCTCTCTTCATCTGAAACATGTCTTTATTGGGCTGGGTTTTCTTGTTCAGCTGTAGGTTCCCTTTCAAATGGTTTGAGTGGTCCTTTGCAACTGTCTGGGCTGTCACAGCAGCAGTTCTTTGCGCAAAAATTACAGCAGTCATGAGATGGAAGCCATGGAGCTATATCAGGGTTGAAACTTGAATAGCTTGCAACACGGTAACATTTAGTAGTTTTTTAAAAAAGAACGGATGTCATCCTCACAGTGAGATAGCTGCCGCCCATAAAATAACACGATAATGTCAGATGGGTTCCCATCCCATCCAGCTCGCCCTGCTTGCTGATGAAAGTCAAGAAGGTTTCTTGCAGGGCCAAAGTGCACTACATAACGGACATCAGGAAAATTAACACCCATACTAAGTGCTGTTGTAGCTATAGCTACTCGTCTGAGTCCTTGGCCGTTAAAAGAAAGAAGCAACCTTTCCTTGTATTCCTTGAGTGAAAGGGAGTGGAATATTCCCAACAAACAGTGTTCATGTTTCCTTGAATTTCTTGGATGAAAAGCACCCTCTCCCAGTGTCATCGTCATGTAGTTCATGACACTTGCAACAGAATATAGTGTATCGCAGAAGATAATAGTTTTGGGGGTATCCTTCCCATGCTGCTTGATCATATCCACAAGCCAATCAAGATGCTTCAACATATTTAACCTAGGGACCTTGTGGACCGAAAGTCTTAAATTAACTCTGTTTGGACTTACAAACAGTTTCACTGGGTTCCTCATCAGCAGTTCGCTAGTAACTGTATTCTCTGTATCGCTGTCTGCAGTACCGGTTAGGGCTAAAACTGGAGTTCCTTTAAATAAACAATAACAATGGAGTTCAAGGAAAGGGTCACCATATTAATCCTATTTTTTGATAGACAAAACAGCAGACGAAGGTAAGCTAGCAATATAACGTCTGTGTGTCTACTTCTCTTGCTGCCTTTAACATTGCTTTAAAAAAAAACTGTTCAGCTGGATAATGAATGCTGTTCTTTTTGTGTCCAATGTTACATTTTGAAAATTACGTGTACATTCATGGCCACATACATGTATATTTTTTTCTAAAATATTTGATTTTTATCTTCTTTATTTATATGTATCTATCTATTTATTTCAGTTATTGATGTACTTTTATAATTATTTTATGGATTTACATTCTTCGGAGATATTAACAATTTTGCTAGCAACAATTTCGAAGTAAAAGTCTCTGATAATTAATTCACAGTCATAGTAACAAAACAAAACAATGTGTCAATTTGTGCCTACTCACCATCTTGACACATCGATGGAAGTATTGACAGTTTGCCATATGCCCCACGAAACACATGATTAGGCTTTGCGGATTTTCCTTTCCTGATTGTGACAATGCAAAGAACAGTTCACATTTAAGCTTAACTTTGCAAGGCAAAAATTTCAAGTTTTGGTGGCACATAGGATTTCAAGCGCATGTAAAATAACAACAACACAACTTGCTTTCTCCTCTCACCTCTTTCCCGTCCATGATTCAACTGTATGAGACTCACCGACCACGATCGCCGATACTGCTGAATATTAGGCTTTTGCCGAACCCTGTGGGCAACATTCTCTAGCGCTTTATCCATGGTTAATTCATCCGACTCCGCCATTATTTTTTGCAGTCTACCATCTGCTCCCTTGGGAAATATGAGAAAGATCATGCGAAGGATCATCGTCTACTATGATTGACATATGTATAGCCTGCGACTGATCAGTTTCCCTGCACACTGGTGTGCAGGCTATTCAAAATACCGGGGTTTTCTGGCAGGCGGTATTTCAAATGCTTCGTCCCCACTCCTTTTTTTAGATCTCAGCTCTGCCGCCAAAACTTTAATCACGCAATACCGCCAACTGCACAGGCTACTGTTGAGGAAGATTTTAAAATAAGCACCAAGCGGTCTGTGTCTTGACAGTTCTGGTAACTTTTCAGGCCTGGAAAGCTGTTTTGTGGTTGTTGATTTTTCATTCAAGATCAAAGTTTCAGTAATTTTGAAAATAATACAATGAAACTATCAGATAACAAAGCTTGGTGGAGTTAATGCACAATAATTTTATTCAAAATCTTGTATATCATCTTGTGGCAATTGATGAAAAAACTTATATTTACCTTCTCTGTCATATTCATTGTCCCCAAGAGCAGCTTCCATCTCCCTGATGAAGTTAAGGACGACCTTGTCGTTGCTACCTGCAGCCTACTTTTAAGATGCGCTGCTGCCACATGTGGTACTTTTCTCGCACTTTTGTGGGGATGTCGTTTTCATCAAAGATGCGGCATAATTCAGCTTTAAGCTTTGAAAAAGTCAAACAGGAGACATCATGTTATACATTGTTCTTGACAGTTGTGTATTACTTGGAACCTTAGAGAGAGGAATGTACATGTTCTTGATCAGTCTCCCATTTTCTCTTATTTTTCTAGTTCAATAAAGACATAGTTCATAAAGGACACTTTAGTTCATTAACAACTGCAAGAGTTCAGAAGATGTCACACACATAAATGATCTTTGCTTGGATCCCGTATGTGCAAGGGCAGGGGAAGGGGATCTTAACGGGTGTATGTAAAAACCTGTGTTACTAATAACAATAATAGTAATTAACTTCTTTTTTTTAATCCCATAAAGACAACATAGTTCAATAAAGATAACGTGGTTCATAAAAGACACTTCAGCATGTTGGCACGGTTAAAGTTTGAAATATACAACTTAAGAAAGGAAGCAGATGTGGAATACACAGCTGTTTGCAGTGTAGTGACATGTACGGAGGAAAAAGCAAGGCAGGTTCTGGAGGAGAAAGAGAAAGGTATAGGACTGGAGTTAGCAGTCATAAAGTGAAATGTTGATGATATAGTAGAGAATAGGATGAAGTTAATTACTTCTGAAATAACACAGTGGAGAAACAAGAGAGGACGAGATTATTTTACCAAAACAAAGGAGAAAAGACATGTGAGAGGAGGCCTCGTGATAGTGGGAGAACTGAAAACCACCTCACGTTGTTTTTTGTCCTTTGTAAAGGAGAGGGATGCCCTATCACAAAGTGATTTGCAGTCTCTTATGTACAAGGATAGACTAAATGGTGAGGACGTTCTATTTGAAAGGGGAAGGTAACGTGATAGAGTGAGTTTACATAACTTCACAGCACGCAATGTATCCAAAGAGGAGCGGCAGATTTTGAACTATGGGGGTGATTTTGTTATGAAAGGAAAACCTACATCAGATGGCATAAAGAAGCAGCGTGCAGTTAAAAAACAGACTGAATTGGCTGTACTGAGTTATGTTGAATATTTAGCTGGTGTTAAGGTGAAGGTTAGGGTGAAAGGGGGACAGCAGAGGTGAAATGTTAGGAAGAAATTTTTCGTTACTTTTTTCATCCTAGACTAGGTTATTTGGAGAGAAGGTTGATAACCAAGGTTTTAAAATTAGATGATTTTACTCTGTAAATCATGCTAGGGGTAGATCTTTATCTGCTGTTATGGTTAGGGGAATTACTAGTAACCAAAGAGGATTAAAACTGTTAAGGGATTTGAGTATAATGCTTATATTCTTAGGGAAAGTGACAAAAACCTGGGCTGGTCTTTTAACAATTCCTCTTGGTATAAACAGGAATCTGATAGGCATTTGAATTCTGGTTTTTATTGTATGGTAGGAAACGTGGGCGATGTAGACAGTATAAAACTTAAATGCCGGTTATCTTTACAGGCGATTAAGTTTTCCCTTTTGTTAGTTCAATAACCACACAGCATTTCAATAAGTACACAACAGATCAATAACCACACCAGTAGTTCAATGACCACACATTAGTTCATTGAGCATAAACTATATGTAGCTGCGGGAAAAATAGCCTCAAATATGTCAGTCATTTTTTAAAAAGAATACGTAGCATCAAGCAAGTGGTAAATACTCATTTAGCTATTTACGAGAACTAAATTGATAAATAGCTATGTTACACTCGAGTGAGCTCACTAGATGTTAATTTAAAAATTTTAGTCTTCTCAGAAGGTCTGTCATTCTCATCAGGTGCACAGTGAATAGACCTGGAAAGAGAGTCAGCCACGAAAAGGGAAAGCCAACTTGGTCCGGAGAAAACTTTAAAAAATTAACCAGACAAAGCGCACATTGATAACGCAGAAGAAAATAACAGTTAACGGTGGATGAAAACTGAATATTAAATCCATATACTGGGCTATTCTGGTATATGGCAACCATGTCTTTCCCTTAAACTGCCCGCTGCCCGCTGCCCTTCATATCTCATTGTCGTTTTCATTTAATTATTTATATATCACCTTCAGCGCATTTATTTATTAATTTATTTTGGCTTAGCCCATAATGAAAATGGTTAACTAAAGCAATGCTGCACATTTTTTAATTACAAAATAGTTTATGTAATTTAAGTCTACATCTTCTTTGGAATAAGAAGACTGAACTGGTAAGAAAAAGGCCTCACTTGGACACCAGGATTACTGTGATGTAACTCCTTCAAGTGGCACACGAAAGTTCATGGCGGTTGCTGGTTAAGATTGTCTGTGAAGCTGTTATTCGTGGTTGGCGAACATTGTACTACAAAGTAGAAGTGCGCTGGTCTGTTGTTGCTCTTTCAATTTCAACTCATTCACTCACCGAATCGAATAAACGTTTCTTTTTCGCTCTCCCTTAAGGGATATTTCGTCTAGTGACATTGGATGGACCTTTTCGGTTGAAACTAGCCTCCAATTCAGTTCTGAATCGCGAGGATCCTGTGCTGCCGGTTCTGGGTCATTATTCTGTGGGGGAACATGAGGTAAAATAAAGCTATAACCAATCTTTTTCCCGTTTTCTTCTCAACTAGTTTGACCTCATCATAAAAGCTCTTGAACTCATGATCGGAGATTGTTCGCTCGAGGAGCTCTGGCATCTTTCTGAGGTCTTGCAGATCGTTTCTTCTCCTTACCATATTCTTGTTTTTGAAACTTCAAAGACTGTATGGTTTCTGCATTTAGTTTCCTTTTTTTCCAGTAAATTCCATTGGCATGGCTTTGAGGTGCATGGGACATAAGTTTCTTGGTGACTCACAGGGCCAGCAGTGTTTGCAGCACTTGTGAAAACTTCATTGTTCTGTTTATCTGTTTATGTTTTTTTATGAGTCACAGGAAGATGGTTACATTGGCCATCCACTCCAGCCAGGCAGCCACAAACAGCCTTGGAAATGTGTCCTCTTAGACTTGTTATAACTTTGACGGTATACACTTTTCCCTTCTTCATCAATGCAAGAACAATGCTTTTAATGAATAAATTATTTTCATCCTTTTTTGTAAACATCTGTCGAATGTGGCCAGATTTATAAAAGTTGTATCCTTTTGAAATTGGCTTTTTGGTGACCAGCTTCTTCCTAATTTCGACGTCTTCAATTAAATACTTCTAAATCTGGCTGAATGATATTCTTGGAAGCACTGAAATACCATACTCGAATCTGTTGGAAGGAAAGTCAGTTTGGATTTCGCGATCGACTTCATCAGCGGCTCCTGAGTTTATTCTTTTCTTTTCTAAATTCGCTCCCCTATCTGGGTCCACTTAATCTTTATCAAGCCCATTTTTATATAATCATTCACTCTAAAAGTCAAACAAAGAAGTAACAGTTTGTCAGTTTTCATTTCTTGGCACTGTTAACAAAGATCGTCAAGCTACTGTATCAAAACTAAAACTATAATAGGGGTGACAAATGGTCTTTGCGAGCATTCGCGAGCATGCAAGCACTGCGATGTTTTGCAAGCACGAACAGAAATAAAAAATTTGCTTTGCGAGCAGCGAGTAGTTTAAAGAGTACAACTCGTGAACAGCGAGCATTTCTTATATTTTCCACGTGCAGCAATCCATATGGAAATCCTTTTCATTAAAATAAAACAGAAAATGTTTTAAAAAGACGATGTGATACTCATCGCTAAGTTCAAAGAGATCAGTGGAAACCTTATTTTAGGAAAGCTGGCACAAAACCTTAAGAGAACTTCGTCTAAAGTAAAAACACACCTGTACACAAGCGATCTCGAAGATTGTCTAATATTCAATTACAAGTTCACCGCTCAGGTAGAAAAACATCATGTGATTGGAACCATTTGGGAAGTGCAGTTCACAGACGAAGATTTTCATATCGATTTAAACCAAGAGCCCTACAAAGAATGTCTCGAGCGTACAAGGGGGGTTGAAGAAAGGGAAATGACTGATGTTGATGAAGAAGAACTTGAAGAGGAATGAGATCCTTGTGTCAGAACAACCTCTTCTGGAAGAATCCTAAAGCTTCCAAACCATTTTTATCGAAAACACAGTCTAATTAAAGCCCAGTGAGTAGAGTGGTACAGAAACTCAGAAAAACAGAAGGTAACAATATCTTCTCTCTTTAACCATATACAGCTAGATTAGCTAATTTATTATTTATGGTTGTCACCTATCGCTTGCATATCCACTGAACTTGATAGCCATACTTATAGGAATTAAGCACCATACAGAATTACATTTATTTTAATCCAAAGAAGGGTCCACAGACTCTGTGGGTTTTGACAATTTTGCCCCTGGAATATCATCTTTGTTTAATTTTATGGATGGATGCGATAGGGCCTCCATAATTTGTTCATCAGATCGAATCGCCTGCGTCCCCCAAAACAGCCCCAAGATGCTACGCCAGCCTAATTCGTTACCAGGACTATTTTGAA